AATTGATTATGTTTTTATTTTTTCTTTGATATATATATATTTTTTTTTGTTTTGTGTGTGTGTGTGTGGTGCCGGTCAATGTAAGTGTCGCTGTTGTTTATTACGGTGTTCAACGCAGTTACGAACTCTCGTTTAAACTTATTTGCATAATTGGTGGTTTGTTTATCGTGTGGTGTTACACAAGCATGCGACCAGACACTGCACCTGCAGTCTCTGAGAGAGCTAGAGGCACTGTTCCTACTTCACCTCACACCAGGCCAGGGCTACAGGCACTGTTCCTACTTCACCTCACACCAGGCCAGGGCTACAGGCACTGTTCCAACCTCACCTCACACTAGACCGGGGCTACAGGCACTGTTCTTACCTCCCCTCACACCAGGCCGGGGCTACAAGCACTGTTCCTACCTCACCTCACACCAGGCCAGGGCTACAGGCACTGTTCCTACCTCACCTCACACTAGACCGGGCTACGGGCACTTTCTTTACCTCCCCTCACAACCAGGCCGGGGCTACAAGCCTGTTCCTACACACCTCACACCAGGCCAGGGCTACAGGCACTGTTTCCTACCTCACCTCAAAATAGACCGGGGCTACGGCACTGTTCTTACCTCCCCTCACACTAGGCCGGGGCTACAAGCACTGTTCCTACCTCACCTCACACCAGGCCAGGGCTACAGGCACTGTTCCTACCTCACCTCACACTAGACCGGGGCTACAGGCACTGTTCCTACCTCACCTCACACTAGACCGGGGCTACAGGCACTGTTCCTACCTCACCTCACACTAGACCGGGCTACAGGCACTGTTCCTACCTCACCTCACACCAGGCCGGGGCTACAGGCACTGTTCCTACCTCACCTCATACTAGACCGGGGCTACAGGCGCTGTTCCTACCTCACCTCACACCAGGCCGGGGCTACAGACACTGTTCCTACCTCACCTCACACCAGGCCAGGGCTACAGGCACTGTTTCCTCCCTCACCTAAACACCAGGCCGGGGCTACAAGCACTGTTCCTACCTCACCTCACACCAGGCCAGGGCTACAAGCACTGTTCCTACCTCCCTTCACACCAGGCCAGGGCTACAGGCACTGTTCCTACCTCACCTCACACCAGGCAGGTCCTAGGATAGGTTACAGTCACGCTGAAACCCATCCTCAATATAAATTTCCTCTCTTATCTACTTGCGTCAGTTTCTAAACGTTCTAAGGTACTGGATAAATTAATTATTATGCACATTTGGGTATGGTATCTTAATATAATTTATCCTAATTTAAGAACAAATAACAGCAAGTAACTAAATTAATTACATGTGAGGGTAACCTCTGGCAGTAACTAACCACCTTCGTTATTAATTCGTCACGAACAGTACTCTTGTTTGTGCGTAACACACAATTTGCGGTTCATAGCATTTACAGAGACGTTTCGTCCACCAGGTTCACCAGCCCCTCGTAAGTGAAACATTTTCTCAGTAAGTGCCATAAACCACAAATTGTCTTATTCACATACATGACGATATATTTTACCAATGATATCTGATACTCTCATTAAGGTCAGACTTCTCGTGCCTCACCTCACTCTGGTAAATTGTAGCATCAGAGTTCACGAGAGTTGTCAGTCATCTAAATCCTTATCAGCCTCTTCCTCCGCATCCAGTTCAGCTCTCTTAGCAGTGGCCAACTTTTGAGTAATAGACACTGATTAACACCTCAAAAACGACAAACAGAAAGTTTAAGTATACTCAGGCAACAGTCGAGGCAGTAACCTCTTTCCAGCAAGGAACGAGCCAAGTACGAGCATTCTCAGGCAGCAGTTGAGGCAGTAACTTCATTCCAGCAAGCAACGAGCCAAGTACAAGTATTCTCAGGCAGCAGTTGAGGCAGTAACCTCATTCCAGCAAGCAACGAGCCAAGTGCAAGTATTCTCAGGCAGCAGTTGAGGCAGTAACCTCATTCCAGGAAGCAACGAGCCAAGTACAAGCATTTTCAGGCAGCAGTTGAGGCAGTAACTTCATTCCAGCAAGCAACGAGCCAAGTACAAGCATTCTCAGGCAGCAGTTGAGGCATCAACCTCATTCCAGCAAGCAACGAGCCAGTGCAAGTATTCTCAGGCAGCAGTTGAGGCAGTAACCTCATTCCAGGAAGCAACGAGCCAAGTGTCTCCCGGGGCTAGTGCTTCTCTTGTGTTTTCCAACAATAGCGTCTCTGTGTGTTTGAAGATCACATCAGGGTGAATCAGCGACGGGTAAAATAAGTTTCCTTAAACAGATCGTCTGTAGATGATAATGGAAATCATCGATTACGCGGACAGATCCCAGACCAAACCTTCCCATTGACTGCATGGTAAGTCAGGTTGTTAGTGCTGGCTGTATGCTGTCCTACGCCAGCATTGCAGCTAATCAGAAATTTCTTTCAGACTTTTCGCTTTTCCTCTTAAATCACTTGAAGATTCATCGGTCATTTTTCTTATAATTGAAGGATGAACTCTGAAAAGTCAGGGACACTATTTCACACCTGCGCTTCACTAGGATATATCTCTCTATGCGTCCTGCTTCCTTAACAACGACTTTCAGTGTGAAGATTTGACCAGTCTCTTAAGCACTGAAATCAAGGAACCTCTTTTTTCCTGTGTTTCCTGAAATACACTTCAAGTATTTCCAGGTGTTTGCAGTAATTTAGGCTGTTTAAATTTTACGGGCAGTAAAATTTCTCTCCATAGTCTCCAGATCCACAGTTTCGCCGTCTTAAATAAGGATAGTGGAGGGCAGCGTTCCAGTCTGGAAACTAAAAGTGGTCTGAATAACATCTTAACTGGCATGAATATTCTTGATTTTAAAACTTCCTGTGATTCACCCCATTATTTTCTTGGGCAAAGCTACATTTTTATCGTCATCTTTAATGGTTAGGTCGTTGGACATTAATATTAAGAGATCTTGTAGCTGTCCCTTCTGTTTTACGGCTTGAGCTGACAGCGGGTTTAATCCTTTTGACTTACTATTGAAACCTTTTGGATTATTTGTTTTTTTGTTTTTTGTTTTTGATCTGACAGCGGGTTTAATCCTTTTGACTTACTATTGAAACCTTTTGGATTATTTGTTTTTTTATTTTTTGTTTTTGATCTGACAGCGGGTTTAATCCTTTTGACTTACTATTGAAACCTTTTGGATTAATTTTTTTCTGTAAGAAAATACAGTTGCAATTTGTCATCTATGAGCATTTTTTTCGTTGCTCGGTGGTCGGTTATTTTGCTTCTTATCTTCAATTAACTTATTTTTTTTTCAATTTCATTCTCATTAAGCAGTATTTTTTAATTTTTATTAGCTATTTTCAACTCATCAGAATTTATTACTCTATTTTTACCCTCATTGTAATTTTTTTAGTTATATTTGAAGATTATTTACGTATATGATGACCATTAAAGTCAAGGGGAAACAGTCATTGTAGACACTGAGATGATACAATCATTGTAGATACGGCAAAGTATCTATACAATGAAATATGCATTCTGAGCCTCCATCTTCAAGTTTAACGTTTAGTACTTTAGTTTATGTAGTTTTGGTTTTAGTTAATTAGGTTTAAAGCTTATCGACTACTCTAGCGTCATTAATGCAGTATGTTACCAGTACACTACCAGACAGTAATATTTTAATCCCAAAAAACACTACCAATTTCCGACATTCATAAATTCAAGCATAATATATTATAATTCCTTCAAATAAAGTTCTCCGTGTTCATTATTTTGGTTAAAAAAATACACGTATTATAATTTTCCCTGTGTTCGTGAGGAGGAAAAAACAGTGAGGTGGGAATGCTTTGTGCACAGCCCCGCTGCCAACCACAACAATGCCTGCATAAAATGCCTCCTTCCCGAACTGTCAGCTTTATTTTACTCTCTTTGTGCTGGTGCTCGGCAGTAGACAAAGTTTTCCAAGTGGTTTTGTCTCTCCACTTAGTTATGCAGGAGAATGTGTGGTTAAAACTGCGCCAGGTAAATTGCTACAACTCACAATATCTATTGTGCGCTTCTAACTGGCGTGCGAGGGGCAGCCTCCAGAGACTTGCCTCTCCCACACCACTCACACTGTTACGCACCTTAAACAAAAGTATATACCCCGAGTGGTGTGTGCGTGTGTGTGTGTGTATCTCAGTGTATAATGCTCGGAGTTTACTATAATTTCTATATAAAACCTGTACAGATGATGGGTTATCATACCATGGTGATTGGGTTGGAGTCTGACTAAGAACTCTACGTCCTCCCTCCTTCATTTTTTGGCTTATTCCCCATTCATTAAAGTTTGCTCTAGGAAATCATGAAAGGGGTCATTCTCTGTTACTCTCCTTGCTCTTCCGCCATTGGTAGTACCGAGGTGACCCACAAGACTCACAATGGATTGGACCCTCAGGTCCAATCCAATTATATATATATATATATATATATATATATATATAAATATATATATATAATATATATATATATATATTTTTCGTGCCGAATAGGCAGAATTTGGATCTTGGCTTAAATAGCAACGTAATCTTGCCATATAGGACAAGCGAAAATTTGTGTATGCAAAAATTTTTCGCCAAAATCATTCTGAACCTAACGAAAAAAATAAAATTTCACTGTGTTGTTTAGTATTAAATTATTGTAAACAAAAACTAAAATATATATAGTTGGGATTTGGCTAAAATAAATTGTTCTTGTTATAATAAGGTTAGTAAGTTTTCTAAGATTCTTTTGGTGCAAAATTAAAAATTTTTGCATTAACATTAATGAAAAAAATGTATCTTTAAATGTATAAGAGAAAATTTTTGAAAGGACTTAATTTTAAATGAGTTCTTGCTAATTGACCAGTTTTACATATTCGGCACGACATATATAGTGTGTGTGTGTGTGTGTGTGTGTGTGTGTGTGTGTGTGTGTGTGTGTGTGTGTGTGTGTGTGTGTGTGTGTGTGTGTGTGTCTCTGTCATCTTACTAAGGGCCTTGTGTTCTCTTCTCCAGCAGGTGATGATGGCGTGTGTATGGGCGTGGGCGGGGCTAGCCACATTCCTCACCCTCATACTTCTCGTCACTCCAGGTGAGTAGCCAGTCATCTGTTCATCTAGCTGGCCACATGCTGAGTGACTAGCTAGTCAGCTGGTGATATATGTTAGGTGATAAACCTTGACACACGTCAGAATGTTAGTGAGATCAGAAGTCACCTGGTAAGCCAAATTAATTAAGGGTCACTTAGTCTGTTAGCTAAGTCGCCCACAAGCAAGGCAATCAGGTAATTTACAATTTAGCTAATCAGTCAATTATCAAATTATCAAAGAGGTGATTCACAAACCAGAATGTAAATTAAAAGAAATATAAATCTTCTAGGTAGCCAGGGGAGCCGTAACTCAGATGATCAAGTCAGTGGGTCATTAATTGACTGGTTCAAAGAGTGCCATCAAGAGCCGCATGCGTGATGGACTACCTGACAGCCTCTTGAAGTGACTGTCGCTGAGAGCCAAGAGTTGAGTACCAGTTCCAAGAGTTGTGAGGAAAGAGTCATAAGAGAACATAGAAGTACACTGCAGATTAGGATTAACTACTATTTCTACTATCTCGATAGTATTGCTCATGCGTCTTATTCATCTACCTATCAGTGGTGTGTAACACTATCGTAATGATACTAGCACTGACCATCAGACCTACTGCAGTGTCCTATTCTCGAGTGTTTTTTTTTTGTACTGTAAAGAAACAGAGAAGAGACGACATAGGTTGCAAAGCAGGTTTTATTGAGTCATGATCTGTTAAAGATCTGCACTAAGTAGAACGTCGTACCAGTGAAAGCTTGACCTGCAGCCTGCCTTTTCTGTTCTGCTATCAGCAATACACCAACTATCTCAAAAGAACAGAGAACTGGATAGTCATTAAATCAACTTGCTCACTCGTTTATGTATAGCATAACGAGATCAATAAGTATATTTAACATCAAGTGAAAGGTTAATGGGGCATTTCAGACTAATTACTGATGCTCCACAATTAATTAATGTAGATAAACTAATGAATCTTTGGTTCCACTCCAGGAGTTTATATATACATGTGTGTGAAACCTTCTGGTAATTAATGATTCTAGTCTCCTGGGACGAGAGAGAAGTTATGTATATTGTCTTCCCCTCTGACGCATCAAAATATCATTATAGTCTCGTTTAATCTTATGTTTTACCTATATTGTTTAAGGACGAACGCCTTATCATAGGAGCTGAGCATTAAATAATATAAACCTTTACAGATATTCAACTATTCATGGTGAGACTTTATTACAGCCGTCGTAGACTCCGGGTAGACTATGCAGGATATCTGCTAGATGACCCTTTGTAGATATTCCTAATTTATCGTCATCTATCATTTAAAAAAGGAATTGAAAGGTGTTTTATCTGTTTGTGGGAAAATTAAACACAAATACAGCATAATGTGATCTTTTATTGACTACGTTTCGCTCACACAGTGGGCTTTATCACGTCACAAACACATCTACGTGGGTATAGAGTGCATGAGTATAGGTAGTGTGGAGAGTCAGGTGGAGAATGTTGGGTAGGTTGTACCCCTGCAGGTCCGTCTCAAACCCAGTCTACTCAAGATATTTTGTATCTTTTATCTTCATCCTTTATCTTTTTGTGCCGGCTGATAAAACAATATTTTCACTGCTAAAAGAAATTTCAGCTGTTTCATGTTAACTGGAATAAACATAAATTCTGAATATACAGCATATTACAGACGGTCGTGAAGACAAGACAGGTACGATGGACCTAGCATTTACTAAGACAACGTTTCGCTCAGTGTAGAACTTCATCAAATTATGATTCAATAAAGCTCTACACAGAGCGAAACATTGCCCCCAATCAACACTTGTTCTGCAATGTATGTCCTTCATTCATCATTGGGATCCACATGACAACAATCATAAATATGGAAACCAGAGTAATGTATCTTCAACACTGCCTCGCCGCCACTCGTCTACATTTGCCTTTGGTCTGTTCAAAGGTTTTGACTGCATAACAGATGAGCCGCGGCACACAAGTCCTCTGCTTACTCAGCAGGTCCTCTACTTGTTTGTTGCAGTATGCAACAAACTCGCAACACGAACAAGACACTGACTCTCTTTAAAAATAGTCAACATCATCCATGAGACAGTTCCGGGATTAGCATCGATTTCATGTCCCAGCTGAGGCTTTCACAGTTTATACTAGCCAAGTTTGCATTTGAATTTCTCCTGTGGGAAGAGGACCGAGGCGGTTCATGCAACACACACGCAGATGCTCATGCAACACACCCAGGTTCATGCAACACACACAGATGCTCATGCAACACACCCAGGTTCATGCAACACACACGCAGATGCTCATGCAACACACCAATGTTCATGCAAACACACAGAGCCAGCAACACACAGGTTCCTGCAACACACTCACAGATGCCTATGCAACACAGACCACCACTGGTTTGAAAAAAAGTTCATGCAACAAAATTTAAAACACTGCACAGAGGCATTCAGTACACAAGTTAGTGCAAAATAACACAACACTGGCGACTACAGTTCTGCAACCAAATCCACTCACCAAAAAACAGGCTTTGTGAAAGTTAATTTACACTGTCAAAAAGCACAGTACCATAGTGTAGCATGAATAACCAAAACGCGAGTACTATACACTCACACTCACACACAACACAGTGAATAATACACCACACACACACACACACACACACACACACACACACACACACACACACACACACACACACACACACACACACAACCACACACACATGCACACACACACGCACACACACACCACACACACACCACACACACACGCACACACACACCGCGCCACACACACATGCATGCACATACAACAGGCCAAGTGTCTAATCGACATGTGCCTAGGACCAAATGGTAACTAACTAACACACAGGTGTATATATATATACCTCCCTCCCCACAACAGGCAGTGTCTATTAACAAGTGCCTTTGACAACCGGTAACTATCACACACACAGAGATGTATGGCATCTCTCTCTCTCTCTCTCTCTCTCTCTCTCTCTCTCTCTCTCTCTCTCTCTCTCTCTCTCTCTCTCTCTCTCTCTCTCCAAGCACAACAAGAGATAACATCTCTATTCACAGCATCCTCACACCGCCCGTGAAAAACGTTCAAATTTTAACATTGAGCATTTTAGCCCAGACAACCCGCTGCCAGACGCGTCGCGACCGTTTTATTTTCTAATTTGCTTCTGTTATAGTCAAATAAACTTTTTCTTAGGTTTATATCACCTGACCTAAAACATATATTTCATAATCTTCTGTAAACTTAGTTTGTAATTAAATAAACGATGGAAAATAAATATCGTTGATTAGTTTAAAGTCTATCGACTATAAGAGGGTTATTAAGGATCGTTGATTAATTTAGTTTAAAGTCTATCGACTATAAGAGGGTTATTAAGGATCGTTGATTAATTTGGTTTAAAGTCTATCGACTATACGAGGGTTATTAAGGATCGTTGATTAATTTGGTTTAAAGTCTATCGACTATACGAGGGTTATTAAGGATCGTTGATTAATTTAGTTTAAAGTCTATCGACTATACGAGGGTTATTAAGGATCGTTGATTAATTTAGTTTAAAGTCTATCGACTATACGAGGGTTATTAAGGATCTTTGATTAATTTGGTTTAAAGTCTATCGACTATACGAGGGTTATTAAGGATCGTTGATTAATTTAGTTTAAAGTCTATCGACTATACGAGGGTTATTAAGGATCATTGATTAATTTGGTTTAAAGTCTATCGACTACACGAGGGTCATTAAGGCTACATCTCCCCTCTTCACCTCCATTCAAGGACACTTTCACTCCTGGAGGCCATTCGAAGGGGCAACGCCCCCGCAGCCTGGTCCATGACCAGGCCTCCAGGTGGATCAGAGATTTAACCCACCGAGCATACACAGTTCGTTTCTCCAACTTGTGTCTATCTGTTCCTATTTTCCATTAGTTGAAACTAATTTATCCATCGTAAAATATTCCGAAATAACTTTCACCTCGATGGAGGAAGGAATGATGGTGTGCTGCAGCCGGTTCTATCAGCCGTCAGAGAGCCGTGTCTCCGAGGCGGCAGTAAAGGGTAGTTCTCCTCACAAAAGAGGTGACTCTCCGACAAACCATCTCGCGGCTCTTTGGAAATAATGGAGCTTTCAGGATCCCCTCTAAAAAAAAATAGATGGCATAAAAAAATTTCCATTCTCTTTTACCCCAGATTCAGCAGGGCTCAAAAAGTCAAGGGGAAACCATCTCTCTAAAAGCGAGAAATTTTAGCTAGTATTCTTTTTTTTTCTTTTGCCTCCCTCTTACAATGGAACTGTGGCGGAGTGAGAACAAACTGAGAGAAATTTCTGAATTCGATATATGAAGTTATACCATTGTGTACAAAGTCTGTTTACATGTGATGCTATGAGAGGGATGTTGCAGCATCCCTTCCTGAGGCACGTGTAGCGGGTCTCGTGTAGGTGGTTATCACCTGTACATTATCCTCTCTGTTTACTTCCGCAGAAAGTGACTGTTGTGCGCTATCTCCAGGGCGGACAATAATGGAATGTAAACTCAGCATACAAAAGGACGAGGGAGGGAAGGGATGAGTACAACACCTGTAAAACATCTGTGACCAGTTTCTTCCCTCGCAGACAGACCTTGGGCCAGACTTTTCTGCTGAGTACCTGTTTAATCAGGCTGTTGCTGTTGGCGACCAGCTTCTCCACTTTGCCATCACAGCCTGCTTAAACTGTCATTTGGTAGATGTGGTTGTCCACTTTCTTTTAGAAAGACTTCTGCATTTGCTCCGGCGTTATTTCTGATATCTTCTAGAAGCATGTTGAAAAATCCTGTATCACGGATGTTGACAGAGTGTTCTCGCATTGTGCTCATGGCTCTGCTATTTTCTACTGGGCCTGTTTTACACCTCTTCCCAAATCTCTCACCCCAGTATGTTGTTATGGAGGTACTCAGAGTTGGGCCCTGGTACTTCAATATCTTCTGTGTATACAATATCAGGTATCAGGTATCTCTGTTCTTCGTTCTAGAAAATACATTGCAAGTGCTTTGATGCTTTCCTAGTAGTTTAAATGATTTATTGATTCTACACGGTTAGTAAATATCGCTGTATATGAGGGAGGGAATACCATAGAGTAAGATGAGAAGATGATGTTTACAGGAGTTCCTAAAGAAAGCACATTTAGCAAAAGAACACGAGAGACTAGTGAAATGAAAAGAGATAGACGGAGGGAGTGTGTTGAATGTTGACCCAGGACACGTGTAGGTTGATGACTAACTTGCTCCACATCATTAAGAGTAGCGAAATTGAAAGCCACTTCTCCCTCAGGCTCAGTAAGACCATCAAAGAAGTGAGATTAGTTCGTGGAGTTAGTTGGGGCATCAGTAGACAGCAGATAAATTTAGATACTAATGAGATAACGACTGTCAGCCAAAGACAGGACGGTTTATACACTTGACATTGTATTTTAACCCCTCTTTTAATGATTATGGGAGAGGCGATAGGTTTGAAACCCCATTTACTAACTAGTCATAGAACATGAACTTTTAATGATAGAGAATTATTGTAGAGGCGAGCAACGAGGAGTGTTAACACGACAGCAGGTGCAGGGACCTACTTACATCATGCAGAATTATAGAGACGAGTAACTAGAAGTATTAATACGACAGTAGGTGTGGGGACCTATTACATCATGCAGAATTAGAGAGACGAGTAACTAGGAGTATTAATACGACAGCAGGTGTGGGGACCTACTCACATAAAAAGACATTTGCTAAGGACGCTCATAATGTCTACGCTTCGCCCCTTGTCGAGCTTTACCAGGTGAGTGATTCCCAGCTAAGATATGAATAATAATAATAATAATGATGATACGAAGTAGAACTGTCGAAAAAGTTAGTTAAAAATGAAGAGTTGCTATTGAAGAATTAAGAACATGAATGGAGGTATTACTGCTAGTGACGGGTGTTTACTAAAAGTGACAAGAGAAGTCCGTCCCGACTCTGAGAGTCTTGGAACACCTTTGTATGGAGGACGGGAGGTGGGGGACACACAGCACAGGTGTCACCCATGAATCAATAATCGGGTGAAGAAACAGACGAATGTGAAATACAGATGTGAAGCATGAAGCATCTGCGTAATGTGGGCAGGTGAAAGAGTTGTGGAGGGGGGTGAGGATTACTTTTATTAGCAGTAGAAGCTATATAGGTAGCAGTAAAGACTGTTATTAAAGAGTTCACTTTTATAATTCTATGACTATAATAATACTCAGTGTTATTAAGAAATAGGGCAATATTACTGGGATAAAGGGTAGCTATATATTAATGTATTTGAATTTACTCCTAGCTCAGTCTTCCATTCACTCAGCACACTCAGCTTGGTCTCTTTCCATTTCATCTTCTGTGGAGGTTCAGATCCCTATGATCTCCCGCAGACACCTAACCTCTCGCTAACCAAGACAGCTCTTTCCCCAGCTAAAGGTAAATAATGAGAGCGTGCGCTGGTACATACAACATGGTGCAGAACGATGAAGCTGCTACTCAAAGACACCTGAACTATGGCTTGCTTATTCCAGCAGATAATGAGGCAGAGTGCTAGTGTTATGATGCTTGAAGTAACAAGTATCATCACATCCCCTCTCATCATTCATATTATCTCGCTTTCAAACGCATATTCCATCTCGGTTGAATGATGGTGAGAGCCATACATCACACAACAAGCACCATCAGTTTGGTTGACCAGGTCAGCAGGGTGGCCTGGCTGCGAGAGTAGACAACGGTCAAAAGTTAGTCAGAGGTAAAGACAGAAGAGTCTTAAGTCCTGTAGATTTTACTCAAGGTACTATTAACATGCTCTCAAAATTAGTGTACAGGTGAATTATTCTTATAATGACCCCTTGTGTACTGGATAGCTCTTTCATCCCGACATACTGTGTGCTATACCAGATAGCTGAGACAGGTTGGTAAATACGACTTACATGCTGAATCAGAAATCTGTCTCCTTAGTTCTGGTCTTTGCTAAGTGATTCTGAACTCACTTTAGGTATTTGCTAAGAGTGTCCTTAGTTCAATTTAGGTCTCCACTTCGTGAGCACAATTTAGGTATTCACTCAATAGCTTTGAGCTCAATTTAGGTCTTCATTATGTGGTCCTGAGCACAGTTTAGGTCTTTATTCAGGTGGCCCTCTGCTTAGTATATGTCCTCACTGAGTGTCCCTTCGATCAGTTTAGATCCTCATTGTTCCTGAGGATGGATCGTGTTTTCCTTCAATAACTTTGAGCTCAATTAAAGCCTTTTCTCGGTGGTTCTAAGCACTGCCGGGGTCCTCATTCAACCGTCAAGTCAAGCACACAATATTATGTATGCAGAAACTTGACGTAATGTTTGAAAACAATTCCCTTGACGAGGGGAAAAAGGAACGACATGTGTGTTGCCAGCTTGCAAATGTTTTTCATATATTTGCTGAGAGTAATGTTAGTCACCACAATTGATAACTTTAAAAGAAAGTAAAGAGACTGTTGTTGTGAGTGACATATACACACACGCGGTAGACTTAAGTTGTTATTTTAACACAGTTACTGCTGTGAAAGTGTACACTGTTCCTGCAGATGTGTAACAGCGTCCTGCGGGAATTCAGGAACAATGTGCTCCCACGGGTGTATAAATGTACCTTGTTCCCCACAGGTGTGGCTGTGCAGTGCTTCCTGTGTAGCTTCTCACCTCGCAGCAACAGCACCAGGATTGACGGCTGTACAGATAATAACTTCACCAGAGAACATATAGAATCTCGCTCCTGTCGCCTCGGCTGTGAGTCTGTGACAGTCTACGACCTCAATGGTAAAACTCAGTGGGGAGCCCTGTGACCTCCTGCCCCCTCAGTATTTCATAATAATAATAATAATAATAATAATAATAATAATAATAATAATAATAATAATAATAATAATAATAATAATAATAATAAAATAAACAGTATATTTCCACATGATACATAGAATTTTACAAATTTGGATGATAATAGGGCTTATGATAAGCTCCTGGCTATACAGAGCATTTCCGGCAAGACAAGTTGCGGAACAAGATCTTATCGAGACAACTTTTCGCTCTGTTGGCTTGATAAAGCTCTCAGAGAGCGAAACGTTGTCTCAGTAAAAGCTTGTTCCGCAACGTGTGTCTTCTCTGTAATCCTCAACTTTATGTCTGCCTTTCATTCCCCTGGCATTTTCCCCTTCGTTATGCTTCCTCCTTGTCATCCTTCCTTACGTTCTTTTCCTCTGCCTCTTCCCCATTATCTTTCCTCCCTCTTCCTTGCGTTAGTCTCCTTCCCTCTTCTTTAAACTCTAAGCTTTCTTACCATTTTTACTCTTTCTATTTCCTCCTGCTTCCTCCTGTCTTATATTTTACCATCTTTTTATCTCTCATGCATTTCCTTTTCACTTGCTACTCTTCCCCTATTCTTTATCCCAGCATGAATTCTCCCTGTCTCCTATCTTGATATTCAGACCTCAATATGTATACTCTTAGTGTGATACCATATGAACACTACCTTAAAAATTCATATCTATTGTCATTAAAAATACATTACTCTAATAATATTTACCATAATGATTATCTGTTTACATTAGATTCTCATCTGTTATATACATCTACTTGCTTACATACCATTATATTTATATACCTCTAATGTTATATCCTTACTATCTTTTAATATCCATCTACTGTTTATATATCTCTTCCTACATATCCTTATGTTTTTATATCTCTACTGCTATATATAGCTTATTTATAACTCTACTTGCTATATACCATGCTGCTTTATATTCTCAGCTGCTATATATATCCGAACTGTATATATCCCTTACTCGCTTATTCCCCTACTTGCTTTATATCATCTACTCGCTCATAATCACATCTACGTTATTACCTTCTAATCGCTTATATATCCCTACTCGTTATATTCTCTCTCGCTTAATATCCTCTACTCTCATATATCCTTTGCTCGCTTAATATCATCTACTGGGCTTATATATCCCCTATCGCTTATCCATCTACTCGCTTATATACCTCCTACTCGTTATATATTCCATCACTCGCTTACATATCCCATCTACTCTTATATACCCTCTACCTCGCTTATATTCCTCTACTCGCTTTATATCTCCACTAGCTTATATATCCATTTACTGCTTTATTCCTCACTCGCTTTAACCCTCTACTCGCTTATATATCCCCATCGCTTATATATCCTCTACTCGCTCTTATTCCCTCCATCGCTTATATTCCCTCTACTCGCTTATATATCCCTCACTCGCTTATTTCCCTCTACTCTTATTATCCTCTACTCGTTATATATCCTCTACTCGTTATATATCCTCACTCGTTATATATCCCTCTATTTCCATTATATATCTCTCACTCGCTATATATCCTCTACTCACTATATATCTCTATGCTTATATATCCCTCTACTCGCTTTATATCCTTACTGGCTTATATATCCTCTACTCGCTTATATATCCCTTTACTTCGCTTATATACCCCTCTACTCGCTTATATATCCCTCTACTCGCTTTATATCCCTCTACTCGTTTATATATCCTTCCTTCGCTTATATATCCCTTACTCACTTATATTCCTCTACTCGCTTATATCCTCTACTCGCTTATATATCCCTGCTACTCCTTATATATCCCTCTACTCGCTTATATATCCCTCTACTGCTTATATATCCCTCTATTTCGCTTATATATCCCTCTACTCGCTTATATATCCCTCTACTCGCTTATATATCCTCTACTCGCTTATATATCCCTCTACTCGCTTATATATCCCTCTACTCGCTTATATATCCATCTACTCGCTTATATATCCCTCTACTCGCTTATATATCCCTCTACTCGCTTATATATCCATCTACTCGCTTATATATCCATCTACTCGCTCATATATCCCTCTGCTCGCTTATATATCCCTCTACTCGCTTATATATCCCTCTACTCGCTTATATATCCATCTACTCGCTTATATACCACTACTCGCTTATATATCCATCTACTCGCTTAATATCCCTCTACTCAGCTTATATATCCCTCTACTCGCTTATATATCCTCATCGCTTATATATCCCTCTACTCGCTTATATATCCATATACTCGCTTATATATCCCTCTACTCACTTATATATCCCTCTACTCGCTTATATATCCATAACTCGCTTATATATCCCTCTACTGCTTATATATCCCTCTACTCGCTTATATATCCATATACTCACTTATATATCCCTCTACTCACTTATATATCCCTCTACTCGCTTATATATCCCTCTACTCGCTTATATATCCCTCTACTCGCTTATATATCCCTCTACTCGCTTATATATCCCTCTACTCGCTTATATATCCCTCTACTCGCTTATATATCCCTCTACTCGCTTATATATCCCTCTACTCACTTATATATCCCTCTACTCGCTTATATATCCCTCTACTCGCTTATATATCCCTCTACTCGCTTATATATCCATATACTCGCTTATATATCCCTCTACTCACTTATATATCCCTCTACTCGCTTATATATCCCTCTACTCGCTTATATATCCCTCTACTCGCTTATATATCCATATACTCGCTTATATATCCCTCTACTCACTTATATATCCCTCTACTCGCTTATATATCCATATACTCGCTTATATATATCCACTTACTCACTTATATATCCTCTACTCGCTTATATATCCCTATACTCACTTATATATCCCTCTACTCACTTATATATCCCTCTACTCGCTTATATATCCATATACTCACTTATATATCCCTCTACTCACTTATATATCCATCTACTCGCTTATATATCCATCTACTCGCTTACATGTCCTCTACTGCCTTACATTTCCTTCTACTCTTCCATTTCTTACCTTTATTTGCATGCTATTCCTTTATTAGACTTTGTCCTTAATAATAATAATTCTACTTTTGCCTTATTATATGTTTATTACATTTTACTTTACTTTCCTCGCGCTATTTCTGCCTTAATCTGCGAGTTACTTTGTTATCCCGATTCTAATTTCTGAATAACAGTTTTATTTTCTTTCAATATGTGTACACAGCGTGATGTACTTCCGATGTACACTTGGTAATAAACCCCAAAGTATTTGTTATACTTTTAATTTAATATAGCGAGAAGTATAATGCACTGGCCGGGGGCTTTGTATGAGTTACAGGGCTGTTTATCATACTGGGAAAGTTTTAATACACGGGTGTAATAATTTCTAAGTGTCTAGTAATGGCGGACTTAACGTGTCGCTACAAAACAATAAATTTGCCATGTTTCGCAAATTATGCGTCGTTGTATTTTTTTTTTATGTTGGCAAGACTGATTAAGATGGGCAGTAACCTGGTTGGTCATTACCCAACTTTTTCTTTTAATGGTCGTTAATTGAAGATTACATTAGGATTTAGCTGTCTTCGTGCTAGTGAAGGAAATGGGTGTACCCATCCCTTCCTGGTATCGAAAAAAACATACCATGGGATTAGAACCCGTGATCAGAGAGTCACGATGAGTCTTTAGAGAGTCATTACGATTTCGTGAGTCATGTTCCTGGCAACAAGTCTGTACCTAATTATTAAGACTTTGTATCAAATCTGATAACCTCCCATTTCCCAGGTGCTGTATAAATTCCGCAGCCATAGACCTTGCCCATGAATACAACAACAATAATAATGTTGGTTTCTTCCTCAGGTGAATGGGAAAGTTTTCATCGCAACTGTGCAACCAACGACACCATTATGACCAACTCCTGTGAGACCTACAAGACCATCATCCTAACACGGAAAGTGTGTTCCTGTGACTGGTCATACTGCAACACAGCCCAGGATAACATCTACACATTCCGGCCGCTGCTGTTGGTGGCTCTGGCATCCACAGTCGCGAGTCTGCAAGTTTTGCAGAAGCTGCATGCCGTATGAGGAATGCTGTAAGCCTCTGTAATTCCTGTTACCGTCAGTCCTTAAGCCATCTTCAAGGAAACTTGCGCTGGGTCTCCTAGCCGAGAAAGATGATTATAACTTCTGGCCAGTAAGGAAGATGCTGTGATTTTAATTCAGTGATTTGATTTAGAATAAGAAATAGTGAAGCAGAGTAAAGACAAAGGGCGTCGTTTTAAATGTAAATGTGATGGGTGGTGGCAAAGATGGCAATGAGTAAGGTACTGTACGGATTCGTCACAGTAAGGGGTGAGTACACACACCACCTGCTTCGTCACAGTTGACGGGGTGAATACACACACCACCTGCTTCGTCACAGTTGACGGGGTGAATACACACATCACCTACTTTGTCACAGTTGACAGGATGAATACACACACCACCTGCTTCGTCACAGTTGACAGGGTGAATACACACACCACCTGCTTCGTCACAGTTGACAGGGTGAATACATACACCACCTGCTTCGTCACAATTGACGGGGTGAATACACACATGACCTGCTTCGCCACAGCTGACGAGGTGAATCATTCGCCAACTTCTGTTGCCACCATCTCAACTTGCCATGAACATGATCCACAACGTTAGCATTTACAATGCATCTGATTCTCTCTGATATTTAGAGAGTGTCCTGCATGTAGCCTTTCTGAACAAGGAAGAATTTACAATATTTTACATTAACATTCTTATCGGGAAGTCATGATGGTGTGAACTAACACACCGAGAAGCCTCACTGTCGTCTTTGATCTGAAGCAGAATCTTTTAAATTTGTGCTGATATGAAGAAGAATCTTATATATTTGTGTTTTAATTTGGATTTTTTTTTTAGAATAAGGACACCATACCCAGTCATAATTGATAAGTATCAATAATGAACTAAGGTGACATGGACCACGTCTTATTCAGCTCTGGGTATGATCCAGTGTTTATAGGCAAGACAGTAATGGGTCGCAACAGGTGCTGCAGTAAATATTTTTTAAATCAAATTCCAAGAAGTGAACTATACAAACGGCTTATCGCCAGTAATTATGTTGACAAACACAGAAGTGTGAAAAAATAAGCCTTTATTTGAACAACGTTTCGCTCTATGTTAAACGAGACATTTTTTTTTTTATGACGTAGCTTTATCCATAAATAGAGGACCCAGGTCCTGCCACTTCGACAGCCCAGCCATACAGGGTTCAGACAGTTCAAGCAAGGTATTAGCATACATTAATAAGATTGGCATTGGTAAAATTGTACATGTTGAATGGCTTTGAGGATTGCTGCTCTTCCTCAAGTATGTTTGTTGAGTGTGATATTGCCAATGCGTGGTTAACCTTCAGTGCCCAGTCACGCCTTCCTTATGACAAATTAATGCTACGTACCTTTGATGACACCTCGAAGAGCCGTCCAGAAGTGATGAGACTTGAAATCGAGCTTGTATAATAAGCATTGTGTTTACAAGTGTTGTACAGCTGCTCTGGCAACAGCCGATCCAGGAACACCTAGGATACTGGTGTGAGGTGTAACTGTTCCGACAACAGCAAGTTACGCAGCATCGACTGCAAATGTGTTTTCACACAGCTGGCACACGAGCACCCCCGTATGTAAGTGCAGCAGCTGATACAGGAGCACCACGCGTTGAAATGCAGAAGCTGGTTCAGGGGCACCATCTGTTCTAGTCAGGATGAATTTCTCGACGTGTTCTGCATTGTGACAGTAGTAATTAGATCTTCACTTCTTCACGTAGTTAGTTCTTCATTGGCTTAGGTGGTGGACAGCTGATCAGCCACAGGAAATATAAAGCACCACTGGCTGAATGCAAACATTCGCTCACAAAACGAGAATACAGTCGTATAAAACATTCCACTGATGTGAATTGACTCATTCCTCACTGTGCTTGTCATTCGGTGGGATCCCCATTACCAAGCCTCCAAGGTTGCCTCAGAAGCAATAAATATGTATTGTGTATATATATTTTAGATATAAATGTATTTATCACTGCCACGCTAAACACAAAGTACCATTCTAGAGTCTAATTATGTGAGCTCTTGAGTTATTCAAAAGAACCAATGAGCTGCAGACACTGCTTCTAAGCATTTCAAATGCATAGCATGAATGAGTATGCATCGAAAAAGCAGAAAATTCACTTCTATTTGTAACTCTCACACTAAGCTTGCTTTCGTCAGCAAGAAAAGACTCGATTTTATAATCACGAAAGCTTTTTGTATTTATATTCAATACGACCTGTAATGGCTGCAATGTTTAGTCAATAAAATTTGGAAAGTTGATGCAAATACTGGGCATTTTGTAGCACGTATTGCTCACGTGTAAGGTAGAGAACTACTCGTGCAAGTCAATTCCTTATATACGACGTTTCGCTCTACCCAGACCGAAACCCCGTCTATAAGTTTGTACTGCACCAACAATCCTTCTACCGCAGTGTCATGCCAAGACCCACAAGTCCTTTGTGGATACACTACATACACACTGTGTCTACTACACTGTGTAGGCATACACTGTGTGTTCTACTCTGTGTGTACTACATTGTAGGCTTATAATGTGTCTGTACTACACTGTAGACATTATGACTGTACTACACTGTAGACATACACTGTGTACTACACTAGGCTTACACTGTGTCTGTACTACACCGTAGACATACACAGTGTCTTTACTACACTACAGGCATACACTGTGTCTGCTCAGTGTCTGCACTACACTCTGCCTTGTCTCTCCTGCTCTCTACCACAAATGCATCAGCAGTTATTTCACAACTCTGTCGCGGGGCCTAGTGCCCAGTTCACTTTATATGTGATAAAATTTAGTTTATGTTAGACCCGAATGGTGTAATGCCGACCATGGTGAAGAGAAGCCACGCGATACAGAGCAAGCTTTTGTTGGGGAAATGTTTGGCCTTGTATGAAGGTTTATCAAGTCCTGACTTGATGCAGCTCTACATTAAGCGAAACGTTGACCCAGCAAAGAGCTTCTCCGGTAATCTGTGACTGTGTCTTCGTAGTTTTTGTTATTGGTAATATAGAGGAGACGTGGTGTACCACACTGAAGTTAGCTTTCTGTATCACAGTGGTAGACTCCTTACTGATATGTACTCAATAAGCTAGCAACCAAATGTCTTGTAAAAATCAGCTTTATATATATATATATGAGATACGGATTTTATAAAACACCTTAAGGATCCCCTCCCTTCCTTGCATTTGTCTTTCATATTGTCAAGACTATATTAATTCCATAGATTTTATACCACAATTTAGGTTTATAAAATATATATATTGAAAAGTAGTATGTAATATATTGAGAAATTATGTCTTTAGAATAGATAGCGCTGTCAAAACAAGAGGGATTTCTTGGTATATATGAAAAGAGTAAATAAAGGCCACAACACAGTATGTTTGACATTTGTTGTTATAATAGTTGACATATAAGGGTTAAGATAACCAGAACGCGGTATAACTAGCACATTGATCTTAGGAGGTCACCACATTATATGGCCAGAGGTATACACACAAGTATATATGTATATATATATATATATATATATATATATATATATATATATATATTTATATATATATATATATATATATATATATTAATATATATATATATATATATATATATATATATATATATATATATATATATATATATATATATATATATATATACATACATATATACATAGATTTGAATAGTATATATTCCACATCATCAGGCTTGAGGTAACTGGGATATGATCACCAGAATTATGTGCATATATTTGGCTGTTACACAAGTGAATTAATGTTTCTTCTATCAATAAAATCTGACTGAATGTCTTGATTTCAATAAAATTTGACTGAATGTCTTAATTTCAATACGTCATTACAGTGTTTTATTGTAGTCGTCCTTTTAAAAAAATGACAATAAACTGTGGATTATTTCTGTATAAGAGAGAATCAGGATCCACTTTCAATCTGTATAACCGTGGAAACTGAAACACACACTTGGAGACTTAAATGAAACAACGAACACGGTAAGGGCTGTTCATGTCGACCTTTATCTGTGGTCCTCTTCAGGAGACGTGAAATATTTTGTCAGGTGAAATTTATTAAATTTAATATATAATAATAATCTTACTGATACTCTTTAAATATCCCTCACCTTGATGCTGGTGAGGGCTCTTGATCTAGGGAATTGGAACTGCGTTCCACTTCCCTGAATTAAGCCGCTTGAATTCCTTCCATCTTCCCATAGTCGCTGAATAATTCCTACGGATTGAGCGCTCTCCCCTAATAATAATATTACTCGTTATTATAATATCTGGGTGAACTTGTGAGATACATTTATGGAAGAATTAATCTATAACAAAGCAAAAGACTTGGCAGGCGATGCAACATACCCCCACTGGTACACTAAAAGAAAACGCAATAAGTGTCCTGGGCCCAAGACTGTTCAACAGCCTCAGACCAGCAATAAGGGGCATTACCAGTAGACTCCTGGTTGTCATCAAGAGGGAGCTGGACAGATACCTAAAGACGGTGCCGGATCAGCCGGGATGTGGTTCGTACGTTGGATTGTGTGCGGCCAGCAGTAGCAGCCTCGTTGATCAGGCCCTATCTACCGGGAGGCCTGGTCATGGACCGGGCCGCGGGGGCGTTGATCCCCGGAATGCCCTCCAGGTAGACTCCAGGTAGGTAGACCCACAGCCACCCTCAACTACACCACCTGGAGCCACAAGTAGTATACAGACGTCACAATGCAAATGGCTCCCCGAGCTGCAATATCCCTACCCCTCCTTACCACTGCAGGATTCTTGTCCTACTAAAATGTTTCTCTAAATCTCTTCATATAAAAGGTACCATGCTCACACTCCAACAGCACATTAATTCATAAAAAATCACCCCACACTTCTAGCCTTTAACACTCAACACCTCCTCTGCCCCTTCATTCCAACCCTTCCTGGGACGAATAAAGACATTAATGCAATATAATACATTGGTGTATTGTATACCATTTTTCTCCTTCCTGTGACGACCCCTTAACCTTACTATCCACCCCAGATTTATAAACCCTTTTGGTTATTCTATTCCGCTCCATCATTCTGGATGCCCAATCCACTTCAACACTTTCAGAGGCCTCTGAATTATACCTCTGACAACCCCGCGCTATCTTTTACCTTCTACGCTGAGAATTATATGAAGAATATTCACACCATACGTTGTTCCCAGACATGATGAATCCAGTGCCTCCCTCTTGCTGCATAGCACCATGTAACACCATATAAAGGTGTTGGTATCGCTATATTCTGGTATATTGCAAGTTTTACTTTCATAGATAAATTTTCCTTCCACAGATGCCTCAACACACCACCATTGTTATATATACAGCAATAACAATTCAGTATTGCCAGAGTCTCCTCTCCCTCTGTCCACACGCTCGTCTCTTCTTGACCTGTCTTTGTAATCATTGCACCTGGAGTGGTGAATCAACATTGTATTTCAGCTCTAGAAGAGGATTAAGAGAGAAACAGATGTAGGAGGGAAGAATGGCAATGAAGAGGAAGAGGGAAAAAAGGGTCAAAGGTGGAAGCAAGCAGGATAGTGAGGGGAAAGAAGGAAGAGTAAATAACTGGAGATGATGAGAGAGAGAGAGAGAGAGAGAGAGAGAGAGATTTGAAATGACAGAAATATATGATGTAAGATTAAATGATAAACAAATAATAGGTCACGAGAAGTGCAAACACACATTTGATTTTTATTCTTTATATGTGACCTCATCTTTGTGTCCTGACCTTCGCATTTCTAACGGATGTGACCGAATCCTTGTGACCTAACCTCTGCACTTCAGGTGCTTCGGGACTTGTTTGTTCCACCTTACTTTCTTCCCACTATGACCTTCGTTTCCTTTACGTCTGTGGCCTGACCTTTGCTCATCTTCTATCACAAAACATGAGCATCTGCGAATTGTAATGTTCAGGCTTGTCAAGTTTAAATTAATCCATCCCAGGTTGTAATGTAAGTTGGATTAACAAGACTTTGTTTACCTCACTTGCATGAGTGATGCAGGTAAACCTCGACCTAACCCGCTCCAGAGGTAAAAAAAACTTTGAAGTTACACTGAGGTAGAAAGTTGAGCAGGAGGGAGCGACTAGCAAGAGGGAGAGAGACTTGCTAAGAGGTGGAAAAGGTTGCAAGAGGAGCAGGTAGAAGGGAGACTTGCAAGGAGAGGCAGGAGAGAAAAAGAGAGAGAGAGAGAGAAGCTAGCAGGGAGAGGCAACAGGGAAGGACTTGCCAGAAAAGAGAATAAGGAAAAGTAAATAAACAAGTTGGAAAGGTAACTCAAGGAAAACAAATGTATAAAATAATGAGTAAATAAAAAAATTATATTGAAGAACCGCTTTGAGAGAAAAGGAGAAACATAAAAGGAGAGGATGGGAGAACGGATGAGTGGGTGGGAAGAGCTACATTAAAAATTTTCAGATGTAAATATTTGTAGCAAGGTGCATGGGACAAGAGAAACTGCAGTGGTGGGTACTGTTGACATGTATGGTAAGACGAAGACGAAGAAGAGGAAGAAGAAGAAGAAGAAGAAGAAGAAGAAGAAGAAGAAGAAGAAGAAGAAGAAGAAGAAGAAGAAGAAGAAGAAGAAGAAGAAGAAGAAGAAGAAGAAGAAGAAGAAGAAGAAAAAAAAAAGGGGAAGAAAATTATATTTGGATGATTAACACGAAGAGATGGTACAGCAATTTACTTGCCCTGAGACATGTAGTGCTCAGGGTAAAGCTTTATCAAGTCACGGCAGATAAAACTCTACCAAGGGCGAAATGTTGCCAAGTGTCTTTCTAGTCTACCATAACACGGTCCACCGAAGCTAGTTTACATGTAACACTGGTGCTGTGCGTAAGGCTTCACACACACAAACCCTCCACCACTGAAACCCGACCCAGGATCACCACACTCCCAAGCAAAATAAAATTACCAGGTGACTTTAAACCCTTACTCTTTACTGGTGTTGAAAAGTGGCCAATTCTTACTCTCTGGCAGTGATCGCTGAAAGGTGGAAAATGGGTACACCAGTATGTGAAGGCAGAAAAATAGCAGTATGTGAAGGCAGAAAAATAGCAGCATGTGAAGGCAGAAAAATAACAGTATGTGAAGGCAGAAAAATAGCAGTATGTGAAGGCAGAAAAATAACAGTATGTGAAGGCAGAAAAATAGCAGTACGTGAAGGCAGAAAAATAGCAGTATGTGAAGGCAGAAAAATAACAGTATGTGAAGGCAGAAAAATAGCAGTATGTGAAGGCAGAAAAATAGCAGTATGTGAAGGCAGAATAATAACAGTATGTGAAGGCAGAAAAATAGCAGTACGTGAATCTAGAAAAATAACAGTATGTGAAGGAAGAAAAATAGCAGTATGTGAAGGCAGAAAAATAGCAGTATGTGAAGGCAGAAAAATAGCAGTATGTGAAGGCAGAAAAAATAACAGTATGTGAAGGCAGAAAAATAGCAGTACGTGAAGGCAGAAAAATAGCAGTATGTGAAGGCAGAAAAATAACAGTATGTGAAGGCAGAAAAATAGCAGTATGTGAAGGCAGAAAAATAGCAGTATGTGAAGGCAGAATAATAACAGTATGTGAAGGCAGAAAAATAGCAGTACGTGAAGCTAGAAAAATAACAGTATGTGAAGGAAGAAAAATAGCAGTATGTGAAGGCAGAAAAATAGCAGTATGTGAAGGCAGAAAAATAACAGTATGTGAAGGCAGAAAAATAGCAGTACGTGAAGGCAGAAAAATAGCAGTATGTGAAGGCAGAAAAATAACAGTATGTGAAGGCAGAAAAATAGCAGTATGTGAAGGCAGAAAAATAGCAGTATGTGAAGGCAGAATAATAACAGATGTGAAGGCAGAAAAATAGCAGTACGTGAAGCTAGAAAAATAACAGTATGTGAAGGAAGAAAAATAGCAGTATGTGAAGGCAGAAAAATAGCAGTATGTGAAGGCAGAAAAATAGCAGTATGTGAAGGCAGAAAAATAACAGTATGTGAAGGCAGAAAAATAGCATACGTGAAGGCAGAAAAATAGCAGTATGTGAAGGCAGAAAAATACAGTATGTGAAGGCAGAAAAATAGCAGTATGTGAAGCAGAAAAATAGCAGTATGTGAAGGCAGAATAATAACAGTATGTGAAGGCAGAAAAAATAGCAGTACGTGAAGCTAGAAAAATAACAGTATGTGAAGGAAGAAAAATAGCAGTATGTGAAGGCAGAAAAATAGCAGTATGTGAAGGCAGAAAAATAACAGTATGTGAAGGCAGAAAAATAGCAGTACGTGAAGGCAGAAAATAGCAGTATGTGAAGGCAGAAAAATAACAGTAATGGAAGGCAGAAAAATAGCAGTATGTGAAGGCAGAAAATAGCAGTATGTGAAGGCAGAATAATAAACAGTATGTGAAGGCAGAAAAATAGCAGTACGTGAAGCTAGAAAAATAACAGTATGTGAAGGAAGAAAAATAGCAGTATGTGAAGGCAGAAAAATAGCAGTATGTGAAGGCAGAAAAATAGCAGTATGTGAAGGCAGAAAAATAACAGTAT